CGAAAGCCAACACGGATAGCCATGGTGTGTATACAACTTTAAAGAGTTTTCAAATTTGTAAGTATTATATTTCTGAATATAGATTCGCCTTCCATTAGTACATATTCGTTCTCCACCTTTATTTTTAACATTAACGAAAACTAAGAAAAGGGGTGGCTCTAATTAATATTATGTTTTCAAACGACGACAGACTGTAACGAGTGGTTTTATTTCGCGCCAAATTTCATTAAAAAATTCGAAATTTCTTGTCATGATAGTGCAGGTCACCCTGTATATTTCATTATTTGTTCCGGTTAGAAATTTTGTGTTTGGGCATTTCGGTTCGCTCAAGACTATGGTCCGATAGATTTAATTTCGCTCAGATTTAATTTCGTCGTGGGAAGATTGCAAAGTTGATTGTCGTCATCATGAGTAATAAGAATTTTGTCGTTCGTTTATCACCCAAAGCGCCGTCTAGACCGAGAATAGGAGCGGATATAGCACCGAGCCATCAAGGGATAAGGGGTCTCCATTTCGTCAGCAGAAAACCGTGAGATCAGCTTATTCAGCAGTTCCTGGAGGTTGACGACGAAGTTAGAGTGGGTTAAGTCTTCTTTATCTAAACCAATGGGAGAATTTCTAACGGGAGCCATTTTTGTTTTATGGTAATTTGGGTGTGGTTTTCTCATTTCAATTCTGAAGAAGGGGATCGTTTTGGAGAGACTCGCGGTTAGTACGTCAAGGGGTCAACACGTACCTTGAGTGATCGTTTTTTGGGGGTACCTAGCGGTTTGAGCCACCGGTTTATTTCGGTTGCTCGCAGTTGCGTGCTTTTTGCACCCGTTTCGAAGTGTTATTTTCTTTTCGCGTTGATTTTTTGGCGACGAAGACCCAGGTTCCGATCAGGTGATATTTAGGCGAACCCTTGAGCTTCACCCCAGTTTACTTTGGATGCAGTGAATCGCGTTAGGATACGTTGTGATTTCTCGAGGATATATAATTCAAAGTGCTGCCTAGTCCTCAAGGCGCCGATATTCGGGATCCGCCCCAGGTGGAATTTCCTACTAGTGCCGTACGGTCATTTGTCGAAGGAGCGCTGCGTTTTGGGGAGATATTTGCCCCAAGAAGAGCTGGTGAAATAATAAGTCGAACCACCCAAGAACAAATCGCGGTTTACCGTCGGATAGTGATCATAAAAATTTGTGTTCTGCAGTGCCGCTAACTCAAAAATCCGTCTCCCGCAGGCGAATTAAAGTCAATAAACTCTAAGAGCCGGTGGAAGGAAATAGTAGGGGTCACTGTTTAAATTAAATACACCTGCTGTGTAGAAACTTTGGCAACTAGCCGTCTCCAACTCGCCACGCGAAGGATTTCCTGGACTAAGCTTCAGTTCAAACATTAAACTTTGCTTTCGTTCCGAGGAAGGATAGGCACCGTGGATTTTGTTTCCGTGTGTTAACTTCAAGCCACCCCCTAGGAAGTCACAGAGACCTAAGTGTCAGGTTTCATCACATCCACCCTGTACCAGAGGAAAGAGCAGTTCACAAGATCGGCTGTACAAATGTTGTAAAGGTTAGTCTAATTAAATTTGTAACGTTCTGTAAAATCCCACTTTTTGGTAATGAAGCTATAGTAAAAAAATTTTGATTTGATTGTTTATTAAAGTCCAATGAACGATTACCAAAGAGTAGGATAAATTTTTGTGTTTATTTAAATAAGTCCCAGCCCACGCTGGAGTAAAAACCAATGACCTGTTGTTGAAATTTTCAAACTGTAGAGGATGGCCACCCCTTGAGTAAATTAGTCTCACCTGGTAGGATTTTTATTTAGTTTAGTTGTCATTGTTAAGCTATTTTTTTTACAAGGAGGAGAGAAGAACTGCTAGATCCCTGTAATTTGTTTGTATCTCTAATATCATTTCAATATATTATCTATTTGGTTTCAATGTGCCTATGTCTTTAACGAAGAACGAGGGGAAGGAAAGAGAGGAGTAGGAGTTGCGTCAGGAGACTGGTAGGCGGCAGGTTAAGGTTTGTTACGCAGTTTCAAAAGAGTTAAAAGCCCACCGATTTGAGTTAGCCGGAGCATTTATTTTTATCGATTGAGCAGCCTGAGAAGAAGACGGTTTGCCTTGCCGGGCGGAACCGATGGTAATTTTCAAGTCCAGAAGGAACCCCCGTAGCAAGACTTAAATTAAGTATGTACTACATAGACTTTCCGGGATTTGTATTATGCATTACAAATTGGTTAAATCTATTTAATCATAATAAATGTACAGGGTGGGGCAAATTCGTGGCTCACCATTGGGAGCTACGTAACGGTGAGAGCTATAGTGTAGGTTAATGGAGTGTACTCAAAAACGTATTTGACATTTTTGAAAAACCTTTGAAAATATCACAAAAAAACTGAAAGTATCAAATTTCGTTTTCAATTTCCCTAACTTAAATGATCGGAAATGGACGATTCCCGTTAGTATCTTTTATGGGCTTTTTTCGGAGAATCTGAATCTGTTATCAGAATTTCTTGTTTGTTATGGACGCCATATTAGATGTTTACGTAATGACACAAAAAAAGAGATTCATTGCATGGCCATTATAAACATGTTGATTCACCAAGATCTAGTTCCCCGTCGATGTTTTCTTGAGAAAAGAATGTAAATGTGATTTTGAAACTTTTCATGTAAATTTATGTGTGAGTGTGACATGTCATTATTTTCCTTTTTTGTCTTCTATCTCCTTAACAATCTCGTATGGTGTCCATACGAAATAAGGAAGAAGTAGCTTGTAGCTTCTACATCTAGTGTGTTATGGAAGTTCTGATAACAGATTCATATTTTCCGAAAAAAAGTGACCATAGAAGGTGCTATCGCGAATCGTTTCAAAAATTTTAAATGTCTCTGCCCTGATTTAGCATACACTGTATCTCTCACCGTTCCGGAGATCACAATGGCGAGCCACGAATTTGAACCACCCTGTACATATTCATTTTGGGATCACCTATTATAATTTTCATATCATTTATAATTCCTTACAAAGTGAAGTAAAAAGGTTTGTCTCAAAAATACGCCAAATATGCTCGAGTAGGTAGTTAAATTTCTAAATATTTTGCTAATAACTGTGAGTTTGTTGTTGGTTACGAATCTTTTATTATGAAGTGAAGTTAACTGAATTCTTTCCTGTTTTTAATCCCTTTTTATCTGAGCTAGCCTGGCAAGTATAGTATCAAAGGTAGGTCCAAACGTACTACAATAAAAAAAATAGACGAAATTGGGATCTACGGAAATAACTACCAAAAACATCTGTTTCGGCGAAAAATCATTCCAGACTCTCACTTTAGGTACTTTAAAGTCAACTGTAATCTGCTTTTGGTAGTACAAAACAAATTAAAGCTGATTTTTCTGCAAAATGGACAAAGCATCATTGCACATGGTTTTGTGCAGTCTTAAAAGTGTTTGATCATTTCTGCGACCTTAAACAAGTACTTGTACGTTTATAAAATGGAGAGCTCGCAGTTTCAGTTTCTTTCGGTCGGAATAAAATTTTCATGGCTTCATTAAACGAGACATACTTAAATGCCTTTCTCAGTTTCTTGCGGCAAGAGATTTGCTCATTTTCTAGATTGACAATAGAGTTTTCTGGAATTTAATTAATAATTATTCAAGAATCTCGACACTTTCAACTCATTATTTAATTATGTAATACGTAGTAGTATCTAAATAAATCCTTCTACATGACTGCTCTTAGTAATTTGTCAGCATGCGCCTACTATGATTTAATAGCTAGAAGATTATAACTATACGCTATTCATTTTAAGAAGGTAGCGGTAGAAAGCATAGGGACAGTTTGACCTTCACTGTGATTGGTTAAAACACGAGTCAATATTACCCTGAAAAATAAAACGAGTGACGAATTCTCTCTTTTAGAAGTTTCAGTTACGAACTAAACTGTCGAATTGTCATTAGCTGTCAATTTCAAAGATCCAAGCGTGATATAGTTTGATTTATATTTATATTTTTCAAATTTTGTGTCGTATTATATTTTTCCTGTGTGTGTCGATTTTCAAACACAGCGCCATCCCTTCTTATATTGAATGCAGTATAGTATTGCATAGCTATAACTAACTTGGAGTGGGGGAGTCTGCTATAGAGAGAAACCAAAGAGTATTCTTTGGAGAAACTGACTTTTATAACGGATTCTCTTTATACTCCTTTCGCTTGTGATAATTTTCCTCTAGAACAGTCCTCATCACATGGGAAACTTAAATTGTGTACGTGTGTCATAAATTTCATAAAAATGAGCTTATATTAGTTATCTTTACATTTTTCCTCCTTTTCCAGGAGGCCACCTTAACACCTCAATCTTTACCCTCCCCTCTGCGGCTACTAAGAGTGCTTTGAATGCTATTTAGGAGGGGATTAACGTACTTACATTCGATGTAGATAAATATATGTAGATGTATACCTAGACCTACATATCTTTGATATGAATATGTTAGCTATGTTCTAAATTATTAACCTTAGCAAGGGTTCATACACTACTTTTATATCTAATGTTCTGTATTTTAACGGGTATTTTAATAATAATAGCATTGAAAATGCATCTTCTTACCAACAAACACCCAGAAAAGATTGAACAAAGTTTTGCACACAAGAACTGAATGATCAGGGTCCTTTTACATGAAAGCTACCATCTTGGGTAATAGAAGTAGATAAATGAAAACATATTATTTATAGCATTGACTTTACACATTTCCAATGTTTATAGGTACTTGTCGTCAAAGGATACCTACACAATAAACGTTTTGCGATCAGAGACTGAAAAAGGTATTATACCTAACCCACCACCTTCACCATAGTCTATTGGTAATCAGCTCCGCTGTTTGATAGCATGCACAACGAGTAACGTGTAAGGGTAGTAAACGCATTCGTCTCCGTTGTCATCGATAAAATTCATCCCACTTTTTTTTCACAAACTCCCACTCGTCTGCTGAAAAATCATCCTTTAAATCGTTGGGAATATTAACAAGATTCACCGCGTTCATCAGACCTACAACAGGGTTTCGTTTGAAAGTTGAGAAATTGTGTTTAGCGATATACCTAAGAAGTATTCCTTGCTGTAAATGATCAATCTTTTTTCTTCGATGCACACGTTAACCTTAAACCCGATATCTACTAGGAGATCTTCAAATAACTGTACGGAATTTTTCGAATATTGATGACAGAAATTCATTTTATTTCTGTAATCGACCATAAACGGTTTCCATTTGGTTTGTTGAGATAAACTTTCATATGCATCGAACATGGGCATCTTCGACATATGACTCAAAAATACTTCTCCTTCTGGTTTTAACATGAGATGTATATTTTTCATAGCTTGCCTGCGGAATAATTTTCACTTTAGGTCAATACTTACGGATACTTCGTACCTGAGATTCGAAACGAAATGAAGACAATAAATCGAAAACACGTGACTGAAATTTCCATGAAAATGTAACGGCACATTGCTGGCCGTAATATCTAATAATTCGAACGACAGTTTGTCGTCTTTGTGGTATCTTTTCCCAAATTCAACCATGTTTTCAGATATATCCACTCCGATGACTCTGGCAGTCGGTGGCAAACGTGGAAGGAGATCGTACCTAGTTATATCGCCTGGACCACATCCTAAATCCAGCACGTTGTCGCATTTTTCCATATTAAGCAACTTGAAGTAATTTTTGGCGACGTACTTAAAATCCCTTTGCGATGAGTAATTAAATCTCATGAACAATGCCGCGTTATTCATTGCTGCGTGATTGATTAAATTAGACAGTCGTACTTTTTGGTAAAACTGATCATTAAAACAAGGTAGGTAGGTGAGACAGTATTTGTAGCCTTTGAGATCAAGATAACTCGTAATATATACGTTTCGAAGCTAAATATTTATATTAGTTCCACATGCAATACAAAACTGTGGGAGTGTGAGTATTTGTAACTAACAATCAATTCTTATAAATAATATAGTAATAACGAAAAAAAAATAACTTTTTGTCTAGATACTTATATTCATTAGTTTGTGCCCTTCTGAGGCAAACGAACGGAATATTGTATTGACTTTGGCCAAGTACAGCTCCAATTATCAAATATATTAGAGATGAGAATATTTTAATTGAATTTAATATTAACAAACTTGGTGAAGTATTATTTCATACATTCAGACGGGTCAGGAACCACCGCCTTACTCGGAAAGGACCACTAAATTATAAAAGATTCTAACTTTTATGGACATCGCTAATCAAGACCATCACTCTTTTTAAGGCTACCTACCCCCGATATTTTTCTCTTGTGATATTAAAGTTTGAAACTTTGATACCACCGCCACAAACAGATACGCTTCGTCCAGTATTTTCGCCCTTCCTCTCTTTTTTTGAAGTATTCATACTAGAAACTTGGTCCGCACGAACAGACATCTCACTTTCGTTTTTTCCGGATCTCCGAAACTTGTCGGAATTTTTTCAGTTTCAAAACTGCATTTTGTTAAGCATCAAAATACCCAACTATGCCAAATTTAAACTACCTACCTATATCTTACAGTTCCCGAAATTCCCACGGTGGCCTTCAAATATGAATCAGTCTTATAGCCCAGGAATTCAAACCGCAAATTCCGTTCATAAGACAACTCGTCAACTCACTCTGGCAGTTTTCACATTAATGTCATGCATTTTTCCGTTTCCTATACTGCTAGGGAAACGAATCCATTATTAAGACAATCGTTACTATGGTATTTAAGTTATGCTTAATTTTAAGGGATACTTAATGTTGACGGTGAAATTGGCCCTACAAGAGAAGAAATCCTGGTCTCGAATGAACTAAAAACGACCTCAAAAGCCATTGATGTTAGGGTGCAATATTCGATTTGATTGAAAAATATACCTACTATTTTATGGCTCTTAAAAGTTTTATTTCGGCGCCATCAGAAAGCTGAGAAAAAATCACTAGGAGTTTACGAACCCCCATAGTGGAAATGAAAAAAAAACTCGCTTTGTATAATACCATGCCATTTGTGGAAGGGGGGCGTGAGCAATTTTAGTTTTAGCAAAGGGGTCACCCTGGAATCAATCTCTTTTCTTCAATGCGCACGTTAACCCTAAACCCAATTCGGAATTTCTCGAATATTGACAGAAATTCATTTTATTTCTGTAATCAATATATATTTTATTTTATTTTGCCTTTATTTTTGAGTGGGCATTATATATTATATAATATTATATGTTTCCATTTGGTTTGCTGAGATAAATTTCATATGCATCGACTATAGGTACCTTCGACAGATGGCTCAAAAATACTTCTCCGTCTGGTTCTAACATGAGAAGTATATTTTCCATAGTTCTCCTGCGGAATAATTTTCTTTATCTCAATACTTACGGTTACTTCGTACCTGAGATTCGAAACGAAATGACAATAAAACGAAAACACGTGACTGAAATTTCCATGGAAATGCAACGGCACATTGCTGGTGGTAATATCAATGTCTCGAACGATAGTTTGTGATTTCTGTGGTATCTTTCCCCAAATTCAACCATTTCTTCAGTTATATCGACTCCAATTACTCTGGCAGCCGAGGATAAACGTGGAAGGAGATCGCATCTAGTTATGTCGCCTGGACCATATCCTACATCCAGCACGTTATCGCATTTATCCATACTTAGCAGCTTGAAGTAATTTTTGGCTACGTAGTTAAAATCACTTTGCGCTGCGTAATTATATCTCATAATCAATGCCGCTTTATTCATTTTTGCGTAATTTATGTATAAATAGATCGTCGTACTTTTTGATAAGGTGCATGAGCCTGTATTCTCCAGAGCTCTATATCTATAGATCGATTGATTCGTGGACGAAGGACCATTTATGTTGTTACTTTATTGCGGATTGAGCTAGAGTGACCTCCCACCATTACAAATCAGTACAAATAAATTAAATGTTATGCCAGTGGCGCAAAAATGAGTGGGTAATTTAACCAGTAACCTTACAGACCAAGGTAACTGGAAATATTTGTGATTCCATGCGAAATATTTTTAGTAGTTCCGCGTGGTAGACAAAACGACTATAGGAGCGTATTGAAAACTAACAATCGTATTCTTATGAATAATTTAGTAATAACGAAAAAAAAATACCTTTTTGTACACATACTTGTATTCATCTGACGCAAACGAAGTTAAGCAACGTCGATGATCTTTGGCGTCGGGCTACTTTGATGGGTGGGTGACCGCTTGGGAACACAGCGTGCTGTTTTTTTTTAAATTTTTGCTCATGTTTGTTTATGATTTTAGCATGTCACAAGGCATCATATAATTAATAATTGCAATTCCTAATTTTTTTGTAATAAAACCTCGCATAATTTTTGTAGAATTGCCTATCCACAGAAAAAGAAAGTCTGTCGAATAATTTATTCAAAAGTTTGCGTTGCTATTTGAAACAATTCACAGATTTCGCAATCCTTGCAACCATCGGAGACATTGGAAATGATAACCGTATAACCTATCAAGTCATAAATAATCCTTCACACGGAATAAAAAGCGGCGGCGTAACATGCTCGTAATATTATCACGGGCGATGTGCGAGAATTTTAAATTCGAATTAACAAAATCCCTGCGCACTGTTAAGTAAGTACCGTATCGACAGTATCCGCGACTTTTCCTGAATCTACCGATCGCGGTCAATCGTCCGATCGCTCGATGGCTTCAGTCCATCGTTTTAAAAGAGAACGGATGGACCGATTACGATGAAATTCTGCAAGTGGATTCTTTATCAAATTTGCAAATCGGAGTTCGTGAATTGGCAAGGTTTTAGCAATATAATAGGCATTGCGAAAAGGTGAGCCTAATCGATTGAGCATATTCACGGTGCCTTTTTAGCGAATTTTTGCAAATTTATTTGTAAAAGCTTCAAACGCGAATTGCGAGCGAACGGGACGTCGGAAATGGGTACCGACGAAGGGAATATGGTAGTCCCCGACAAGATCTTACTGATAATGAAGTCAAAACTGGCTAATAGAATACTGATCTGTCACACAAAAATGCGCTGAAGTCCATTCGATCTCATACGAGGACTTTGATAATATTTGTCATCTAGGCCATTTAAGACCTGAAATGCATGAAATTCAAACTGGGCATAGCCAGTACCATATCAAATGTAGTGTCACCGCTTTGGTACTTTTGATTATGTATTATCAAGGCTTAACTCTTGGATGTTCTAGTATTAGCATATTCAATAATGTCTTTACCCCGCCAGGGTGCGGGCCTCCGCAAACAACTCGACGCTAACCAAGATGCCGCGGCCTTTAATGAGAGAGGTCGGCTTCCAGGCTTTTTGAATGAAATTTAAACAAGTTTTATCTTGGTACTTAGGCCCTAAACTAAAAATGATTCTTGTTCCGCTAATTCGGACAAATAGATTAGCAGTGCCAATTCAATTCTAAATTGCGTACAGCGCCCTTGCATTGATACCACTCTTCAAATTATTCGTACGTCCTTTGCATACAAAAATAGTATATTGTGCAGCAAATGTGTGAAGTGACATTTTTTACACGAGCCTGGAGTCTGCAGCACGAACGAATGCGTGTAAAAAATCCTTCACGTGTTATACACTATACTTTTCTACGACCATACATATAACAAAGTAACTTTTTATTGAACTAACATTTTGATCATAGAAACCAGTAATTAATTTTCTTTATTATAGCGATTATTAATATTAATAGTGCAATTTGACGGGTTGCGGTTGGTGAATCGCTTAATGGTTTTTCCATGACAATGTTTTTAGTAGTAGTGTTATTTTGAAGTGACAGTATTTCATTGGAAACTTCAATTTTCTTGTGCAATGAATTTTCTATGTAACTTTCTGCGACCGTCGAAGATTTCAATCCTCTGTGCTTTTTTTAGAGTAAGTAGTAAATCTCCTTCGGCTTCTACCAGTAGTGTAGCAGACGATCTCCTGAAAGGGTAACTGGTGTACTCTTCAGCATTAGTCAGTTTTAAATATTTGGTAATTTCAGAAGGTACTTTGCCAATTTTGATTATTCTTGTTGTACTAAAATCTTTAAACTAAATAATTCATTTATGTTTGATCTAAGGTAGTAGTTTGTTGCTATATAAATAAGTTAGAGTTTGTCATTAGAAACCGATACAATAAAAAACGTTGTTCATATTGATGTTTAATAGCAGTTCTTATTCAATTTAATACCATCAACAATTCTCAATGACCTGGCAAGTACATTTTCCCCTTTGGAAATTAATAAAGAACCTTTTCTCAGAGCACCAGCAAATCCAAATTCTAAAATGATCCAGGCGTAAAATAACAATTACACATTTAAATATTCATTTTTGTGCAAGCTAGCCCTACAGCTATAACGTACAAGTAAGATTGGACCATTTTATGTAAAATTTATGAATGGAAACCCATGGCAATACTATTACGTACACTTTCCCATGGCAGGCCACAATTGACAGAAGGAATTTAGAAATTAATATTGAAAATTTGAAACAGTGTTTATTTTTATTTATAAATATTGCGCTTGCACAAAAAATGTTGTGTACACCGCGGCTGCGAAATGTGTTGGGTGTACCGAGAGAATT